GTCCGATTTGGTTTGTGTGACAAAAATATCCCTATTCCACTACCAGGACCCCCTGACTCCCCATACTATGACTAGAAACCTCTTTTTTACTGGGATTTGATTCATGTACCTATCATACTTAAGTGTCTGTTGGGGACCAAGTTATAGCTGTTGCAGTGAGTTGACAATTAGATAACTTTCTACATATTTTTCTACTGTGCATAGATTCTAGGCCATCTTTTTACCATGTAATGATTTGTGGTATTAAAAATCTTACTTGTAGCACTACCAGTATTACACACGTGTAGTATAAGCAAAGATCAGCAGTTGGAGCACATGCGCATAAACCTTAACTTGTGGGATGTGTCTTGCTCTAAACTTAGTATGAATCAGTTAATTTTAGTCAAAGTACTAGCCATTACATGCAAAATAAGAARGGCCCATAATCTACAACTGGAACATAGATTTTAAAGTCAACTCTATGTGATAGATGTCAAAGGTCACATTCAAATAAGGGAAAATGGTGATGACATTGTGAGCTAGTAAKGCCTCATCTTCTTGAAGGCATGGTCACAGGCAGGAGTCCAGATATAGGATCCTGAGCTGGTGAAGGCTGTGAGTAGGGCAAGTTTGTGAGAGCGCCATAGCCACATTGATTTGTAATAGTTCACTGCACCACCCAGGAAGGACCAAACCCCCTGCTCCTGGTTACTAGTTGGAACCTCCATCTTCAAAATGCCATCTACCTTCTTGTGTCAAGGTTTGACTCCTTTGGAAGTTACCCACCAATAGCCTAAGAAATCTCATTCTTTGACTGCCTACTCACACTTGAGTGGGTTGCACTTCATGCCTGTTGCAGCCAAGCACTGGAGAATACTGTTGACAAATTCTATGTGCACTGAGAAATTCCCATGTCATCAATGTAAACTTAAATATCTAAACCTTGTAGGATCTTGGCTTCAATCCCATTGGGACTAGTCATAGGCATCTGTAGTTACCACCATGTTTGGTGGTAGTAAGAGTGCAAATCTTCCAGCTTTCCTCATCCCAGTTCAAAACAGGCAGTAATAGTAGAACATCATTATCATATAGCATTGGCCAGCAGATGTATAATAATATCGGGGATTTTTGGCTATCTAATTACCGTGTAATGACTCGTGGGATTAAAAATTGGCTTGCACTACAGTATACAGCGGCCAGGTGCTTAGGAATTTTTGAACCCCACATTCATGCGACCAAATAGTTTTGGGCACGTGCAAAATAGTTTTGCTTGCACGTGCACGGTGTAGCCCTGGTACAAGTCAAATTTTTAATCCCACGAGTCATTACACGGTAAAAAGATGGCCAAAAATCCCCGCACAGTACAAAATACACGTAGAGGGTTAACTAGGGTACAACTCAGTTGAACAGCCATAACTTTTCCCCCAACGGACGCTTAAGTATGATAAGTACATGGTTGAAAGGAGAATTGAAAGAGCTTTCTAAAGCCGTGCGGGAGTACGGCGTCCGACGAATATTCATGGATATACATGTATGTATATCTGTATTCAAAAATGTACGATGATTTCGGCTGGAAACACGTGGCCCACGCTATAGGATATGTCAGCATTCTTTGTGAAATAATAATGTCCCTAGCATCAGGTCACAATACCTGGAATTCTGGGAAGTGAGATCTTYGGTCTCTTGACCACTTTATTGATTTCTCTGAGGTCCACAAGCCATCTGCCTCAGTCATTCTTCTTTAAGAGGATGAATGCCAGGAAGC